TAGGAATATCAGTAAGATAAGTTGTGCACCAGAGGCTGATGAAACACTGAAGGTAAAAGCTTTGACGATGATGGGGAAGTTGAGGAAGTATTGGAATCCATTGGCGGATGGAACTGAGTCTGAGAATGGTAAGTCTAAGAGCTGTAAGATGAATAAGTTGTTGATTGTTGCTACGGTTTTTGATCCAACAAAGAAGATGCACTTCGCCAACCTTTGTTTTGAGAAGCTTTATGGAAAAGAAAGCATCGAGTATAATCTTCTTTCAGACTCAATTATGGAGATCTTGAAGCGTTTATATGATGATTACAGTCTTTCAAGTGGTGGAGGTGGAGGTTCAAGTGGTTCTCAGTCGCAAGGAGGATCAAGTGGAGGTGGAGGTTCAAGTGGTTCTCAAGAGAGTGGTGCAGTTTTCCAGAGTCGAGTTATTGGTAATGGTATTGGATATGAAAGAATGGATAATCTCTACGAGGAGCTTGTGCAAGAAACAGGTACACAAGATTCTAGTGATGAGTTAGAAGTGTATTTGAGTGAGAAGGTAGAGGTTACAAAAGGTGTTACTGGACTTGGAGCCGAGTTTGATGTTTTGTCATGGTGGAGAAGAAACAGTGTGAAGTTCCCAGTCTTATCTAAGATAGCTGCTGATATCCTTGCGGTTCAAGCATCATCTGTAGCATCAGAAAGTGCATTTAGCACTAGTGGGAGAATCTTAGATCNGAAGGATTAAATGAGGTGGATGATAGCTTGAATGCCATTCGGAATGGTATTCAGTATGTGAGGTCTTCCACCAATAGGCTCAAGTCTTTCGAGTTTCGGGTTGATACGGGGAAGATGACCAGAGGAAGCCTTCCATTAGATGTCAAGACAAGATGGAACTCGACGTATCTCATGCTAGACCAAGCAATCAAGTTCAGAGCAGCATTTGAGAAGATGGAGGCTGAAGACAAACCGTACAATGACTACTTCCTGGAGCTTGAAAATGGGAAAAAGAGGATTGGACCGGCATCTACAACAGACTGGGAAGAAGCTGAGAGGTTGGTGCACTTCCTTGTGGTGTTTTACAATTCAACTTTGATGCTCTCTGCTTCAAAATCCATTACTGCGCACAAGGTTTACAATGAGATCGTCACTATCACTAGGAATATCAGTAAGATAAGTTGTGCACCAGAGGCTGATGAAACACTGAAGGTAAAAGCTTTGACGATGATGGGGAAGTTGAGGAAGTATTGGAATCCATTGGCGGATGGAACTGAGTCTGAGAATGGTAAGTCTAAGAGCTGTAAGATGAATAAGTTGTTGATTGTTGCTACGGTTTTTGATCCAACAAAGAAGATGNGAAGTGTATTTGAGTGAGAAGGTAGAGGTTACAAAAGGTGTTACTGGACTTGGAGCCGAGTTTGATGTTTTGTCATGGTGGAGAAGAAACAGTGTGAAGTTCCCAGTCTTATCTAAGATAGCTGCTGATATCCTTGCGGTTCAAGCATCATCTGTAGCATCAGAAAGTGCATTTAGCACTAGTGGGAGAATCTTAGATCTATATAGAAGCTTCTTGACACATTTTATGGTCGAGGTGTTGGTGTGCACAGAACAATGGTTGAAATCTGAGACTCATATAAATTCAAGAGCCATTCACACAATAGAGCAGCTACTTTCAGATGTGGAGCAACAAGATGATCTTCTGAGAGGTATGATTCACCACTTTTAAACTCTTTACAATGTGATATGGTTGCTTGGAGTTGAAGTTTAAAATTAGAACACTTATAGGATTCTGTTTTTTTTTGGTTATTAGTGTTTGAAGCTGGAACCAGCCTTGAATAAGAAGTGGAGACTGTGGAGTGTGGACTTGTGGTGTGGAGACTATGGAGTGTGGACGACTGGGAGTTGATGTGTTCTTTGTTTAAGGCTTTAAGCTTTGTGTTCTTTTCTTTATGTTTCTTGCGTAAGACTTCTTTCCTTTATGTTTCTGGTGTGATCTGGTTCTGTTTAAGACTTGTTTTCTTTATGCTTATGGTGTGATTTGCTTCTGACTTATGTATTTTTATTTTATGGTGTGATTTGCATTTGGTTTATGTTCAATCACATGTGTTTACTTTGAAATTTCTGTTGATGTTTAATGAGTTTGTTTCAGGTACATTACTGAATAGTGAATACTGATTGATGATGTTAATGTTAATTTTTCAGATAGGATTTAAGTTGCAGGATTACAATTTACAAAGCTTGTTTCTGGTTCCGGTTAGTACCCATTGATGATTTTGGGTAGTAAATAACCGAACCGGTTAGTATCCATTGATGATTTCGAGTAGTAAATAACCGAACCGGTTTAGTACCCAATTTTTTCGGATTGAATATGGTTACATTTATTAAAAAACCGAACCGACCCGAAACCGGTGGGAACCGGTCCGAAACCGAACCGTAATTCTGTAAGTAACCATTGGGTACAATTTCTTAATAACCGAACTACCCGGAACCGAATGAAACCGACCCGGAACCGACCCGAATACCCGAAATCCCAGGCCTAGTCAGGATGCCATTACTTTTCTGACTGATCAGCAACTTGGAGAGACGCGTGAGCTTGTTGAGATTCTGCAGCTTGATAGGAATTGTCAAACCTATTGTAGCATTTAGGACTGGGTTGTGGGTCAAACCCACCCCGCTGATATGTCAATCCGCGGGTTTTAATTTTTTTTTTTTTGTCAAAAAATCCGATCCGCACAACTCGCGAACGTATAAATTTACACCCAAATCTGTCCCACTTAATTTTGCGGGTAACTCGGAGGACCCGCATGTTATATTTTTTTTAAGAAAATAAATATTTAATTTAATTTCTATTTCAACTAATAAAAATTATATATTTATAATAAAAATTATATATTTTAAAAAAAATAATTATTTTTTTTTAAATTACTGTATTTTTAAAAAAATATTTATTTTTCCAAAAATACTCTTTTCTAACCAAAACAAAACACAATTTAAAAAAAAAATCTTTTGCGGGTTGGCGAGTACCCGCGATTCAAAATCCACCAATCCGCACCCGCCAATCAATTTTTTCAAATTGTTTGACCCGCACCCACCCCGCAGCGGGTCAAAGGAGGCGGGACCCGCGGATGATGACTCATATTCCCAGCTCTATAGCATTTGATCGCTGTGTGACTAATCCTGCCGCATATCTGACAAGTTGGACGAGAGTTGTTTCCTCCTTGTTGCGGTGGTTGGTGCTGAAAGAATCCTCTTCCTCTACTTGAGTAACCTCCACGTCCTCTTCCTTGATTACCACGACCACGTCCTCTGAAGTTGGGATTGTATTGGGGTGGGTTCGTGTTGTAGCCGCTTTGTTCTGTCTGAAACGCCGTGTGTGGGTTGACAGCAACTGTTGCTTCTTCATAGGACTTGAGTTTATTGTCATAAGCCTGAACTTCTGAGATGACATCATTGAAGGTGGGTTGCGGGAACTTGGAGAGGGAGCTCTGGATCACTGTAGTGATTGGATCATACTTAGGGCTTAGTTCGTTGAGAAACCCAAAAATCTTAATGGAATCTTCAAGTGGTTTACCAATCGAACTGAGTGCATCACAGATTTTTTTGAACTCATGACTGTAGTCGTTCAAGCTCTTCTCTTTCTTGGACAAAAGCTGAAGACTTCTTCTAAGCGAGAACTCCCTCGCCAGAGAGCTCTTGTTGAAGTGCTCTGCGAGTGATAACCACACTTCTCTAGACGTTGAGATGTAGTGAACTGACCCAAGGACTTCTTCTGACAACGTTCCGAACAGCCACGACTGCACCAGCTGATCAGAACAGACCATGACTCGCATAATGGATTTGGGACTGTAGTGATGACTCCACCATTCTCGACCTGTTGAGTAGTATCTGGAGGCGTGACACCTCCATTCACAAACCCGATGAGCTTCTGACTGGACAAAAGAGACTCTATTTGAGTCTTTGATAGCAAATAATTGCTATCTGTGAGCTTCAATGTGACACAGCTTAGGATGTGGACATTGCTTGGAAACGGGTACTGAGAATCCGCCATTGTTACGCCTGTGAGAGCTTACCGCGGCTCTAATACCATATCAAGGTTTGAACATAAGTGTGATTTACAGCATAACTTTCTTATTAAACTCGATTATCTTACAATGAGAATGTACATTGGTTTATATACCAAAGCCTTAGATCTTATCTTGTACAGACAGTATGTCAGGTGACTCATCATAGACCAGTCTAGATAAGTATCAAATCTGTTGAATGTCGCCATTGTCTCCTTTACATATTCAGAGCCGTTATTATGTTTTGTCCTCTTCTTTATTTCATCTTGGCGGACTGTGTTATTTGTTTTTGAATGTTCATGAGCAACTCTCGTAAGGCCATATAGCCTTGTTACTCCTAAAAAAACTCATCCACAAATATCTTATTTTAGTTGAGTTTCATTTTGCAACCAGTTTTGGGTGTTGACGCATTTATTAATTCAAGAAAAAAAAAAAAACAACAACAGATAACTGCACCAAGATGTGCGTCAGAGAGATCAATCAAACGAACGCCCCTTAGTTCTTTCCACAAGAAAATAATTTGTTTCTTGTCGAACTCAGGACCTTGAGGATGAAGGTTCTTGCCCGAAAACCAGCTGACCTATTATCAGTTGGAGAAATGTTTCTGTTCAAGACCCCTTTGCCGTATGTTGAAACGATCATGTCCTTGAGGAGAGGATACTGAAGCTTAACAAACAGTATAGCGGGGAAACTAGCGACCAGGATCACCGGAGCGATGATCCACGACTTCTGATTAAGCGTGGTGAAGAGCGCTGACCAAAACGCCGTCAACATTGCGGTAATGGAGATGAACAATAATGACAAGCGGGCAATCATCTTGGTCGGAAGCGAGACCAAAAAGTCGTAGAAATTGTATCTTGATGTGAGGATTCCGAGGAAGATGAGGACGGAGGTGCAAGAGGTGAAGCAAGAGATTATGTCGGATACTATAAAGATCACAAAACGCTGGTCTTTTAGATGAAACGGTCTCCCGCGTGAGTTATCATCGGTTCCGCCTGGAACAGTGAATATCGCCGCGAAGGTTACGGTGAGGATGAGAGCAGCGACTACGCTACACGATCCAGCCATATCTTTCATCGACTTCTCGGCTTCTTTTCGCAGTTCTTCGTGCTCCTTTCGGAATAATTCAGATGGTTCATCTACTAAAAGGTTTGATCCATCCTTCTCTAACACAGGTGGTGCAATTCTCTTTATTTCGAGGAACCATTTTAACTCGCTTTGCATCTGCAAAACTGCTCCGGCAATAGTGACAAGCCTCTCATGAGGAGCTATGTAGCTAGCCAAATGAAGAAACCCATGTCCTTTCCAGTTAACTTCAGTCAGCATCAAATGTCTTTGTTTCAGACCATACAGGAAGTTTAAAACCTCCTTCTGTCTGTACTGAATTGCAAAAAAAAACAAGAAAACTCCGGAACCCTTATAGGAGGACCATAGAAGCTCGGAGTTGTTCGTGACCATCTCGACCAGAAATTCCACGTTTCCATATCTTACTGCACACCATAAAGCATCGTCCAATGCCATCGACCGTTCGGTCAACTCCATGGTCAGTGTTTCTTCAGATATTCTTCTTAGAAGCTCCTTGACTTGCAGATGCCTCATCTTCCATTTGTACACGTCATCTATTCCTGAAACATCATAGAAGCTAAACCGTCATTTAGAGCTTCAACATGTGATAAAAGTATACAGAAACATAAAATTGAAAACATAGCTGATTTAACAAAGGAAGTTTGTAATACTTGCCAGTCCATTTTAAGAGACATTTAAGCAGCTTCCCCGACAGTTTATCTGAGAGAAATCCAGAAAAAAAAAATATATCATTTTGTTAGGACGAATATATAGATCTTTTATGGAGTAATGTCTTTCTTGATAGTTCTAAAACTAATAGAATAATCACCCCTTTTGAAGTTTACTAAAATAACTAGATTTTGATCTACATTTTATTGCAAAAGTTTAACTATATGAAAGAAATATTTATTTTTAATATCTATTACATATGCAAACCAATTGATTTTTTTATTGTTTTGGCAATAAATATACTTACCTTTATTTGAGTTAAAATTAGTAGATTTAATAAAAATAATAGACTCAGTTTTCAAGATTCTTGTACCTTGTTGTAATACTCATATGTTAGAATTTAATAAATTGTTTGTTGAACGAAAAAATCATTTTATTGTGTACCCACAATATAATTATTCGACTATAAAACTTATTTACATTCAATTATTGATCTTAGCATTTTATTCTATGCGGTATTTGATTTCATGTGAATTTATTAAAAACATAAAAAATAAAGACTCATATTTATGAAACTACAGATAGGTTAACACATTTCCTTAATTTACTTTCCTATAAAAGAACTTTTATAAACAATTTAACATGCAAATAGTAATTACTTAATTTTTTTTTGGAAAAAGTAATTACTTAATTTTAAAATATGAAATTAATAACTTTAAAATACTTTTTAAGAAATTTAGAATTTCTTAATTTTTCTTTTTTAAAATTTTGTTATAGGGATATATTTATTTATTTTCAATATATATATATATATATATATATTAGAAGATATTTTGAATAATTTGGTTGAAATATATTTGAAATGACTACCCTAATAAAAATGTAAAATATGAAAATATATAATGGTAATTTTTGTAAATTATAGTTTTTTTAACAGAATATATTATTAGTTAGGTTAAAATATTTATATTTTATTACTAAAAATTAAATGATGGTAAGATCATACTATCAAAACATATATTTTAAAAAAAATTAATATATTAAATAGGAAAATAATGATTTAAAATATTAAACTTGGTAAATTTTCCCTATAATGAGAATATTTATTAATTTTTTCTATTTATGTTACTTTTTTCAGTGTATATTTTCCAGAGACAGGCCCACATAGTAGGAAATGTATCAATTTTTGTACCAGTTATTATATACATTTTGGTTGTAAGTTGAAATACTAGCTTTGTTGGTTAAAATTAGGGCTGGACAGAAATCTAAAACTTAAAAAGATCAAACCAAATCTGATACAAAAAATAGTATCGCATTCAAACCAAAACTGGTTAAATGTTTGAAAGAATTGAAAAATTTAATATGAAAAACCGGAACAGAATCCAGCGCAAACTGAAATAATTTAGGTACCTAAATATATTTGAGTCAGATTTATATACTAATAGATATGTTATTTTTAGATTTAATATCCAAATATATTTAACTTATATAAAATATTTTACAGTTGTTCAAAATACTTGAAAATATATAAGTCATCTGATTCCTTATTGTTTTTTTAACGTGGTCACACCCACCTCTGCATAAGACCTCCAACCAGAGTTCAAAACTTAGTTTTTGCAGATTATTTTTCTTTATTAAGAGTTTAAAACAAACTTTGTTGGTCAAAACCTAAAGTATGTTTCATCGAAAAAAAACCTAAGGTATGATTTTGTTGCCAACAGTGCTAAACTATACGGTTTAGCTACTACCAAACTAGGGTATTAAAAAGATAAATTATTTGAAATACTGCTTAGATTACCACTATTAAAAAAATATTTCAATTAAAAATCATTTAATATTTGACCTGGTTGAAATGTCAATTTAGTAGTTATTGTAGAGTAAAATTTCATTTTAAAATAAGTATTATTTTAATATTAATTTATATGTTATTTTATTTTTTATTAGTCGAAATGTGGTTAATTTTATTTGTGATAATGTTTTTACTTTAAAATATGTAATATTAATTTTTTTATATAATTTATGTGTATAAATTTAAAACAACAATTAAAATGAAATGAGTGAGTATAATATTATAGGAACTTACTGTGACCCCTTTTAATATGAGACCGCTCCTGAAGCATCGGTAGCTCTACTCGTATCCCTAGCATTAAATACGGAAGGAAGGATTTATACGAATGAGAAATCAATGTACAAGAACAAGATGGATCGTTGTAATGAAGAATAGTCTCGGAATAGTACGGACAAGAGTAGATGAAGCGTTTGAATGTTCCAAGAAAGTGGCAACCACCGATATAGAAATCCGGATTCGAAGCCATTAAGGTGATGGGATTCCATTTCACCTTCGGGTGTTGTGTAAAAGCTAGATCTTTGCATTTGCCAAACAGATCCAGCGCGATGTCTAATTTTTATGAACAATTAAAAACAGATCAAGAAATGATCATCATCAAGATTGTGTTAAATGTCCAAGAAATTGCTTAGTCGCTTACTGATCCATTTGTAATAAATGGCCTTGACAAAGAGCTCGGAGCCATGATACCCATCTCGATCAACAAAAACCTGAACCGGAGTTCTGTTGTAAAGATACGACACCATCTCTTTCTGCATCTTCTCAACCGCAACCACTACAGGAATACTCTCACGGATGCCTGGAGTTACGAGCAGGTTAGGGTTCTTCTCGATCAATGCCTCAGCGATCTCCATGTTTCCACTGGCGGCAACGACAGTGAGAGGAGTGTGGTAAAAAGGCATGTCCGAGCTCAACTTGGGAAGCATTTGTTCAGGAGTCATATGAAGCAGAAGCGCTTTAACAACCTCGGGGTTTCCACATGCGCAAGCTTTTAGCAATGGTGTCTCGTATGGGTTTATCCATGCGTCCACTGCGTCTGGACGCTCGGACAAGAAGTCCTTAACCGCTCCTACATTTCCTTCGGTTATCCCCTCACACAGCGCTTTGTATTCGTTAAATGTAAGCCTAACGTTCCCTAAAATTAACAATAAGAACAGTAAATTGTACTCCATAGCAGGCTAATTGGCACAATAAAGGATCCAACAAAAAAAGGTACATTAAAGGGAGTCTTAACCTGGTAACGTAGTCGGATTATTTTCTACATCTAAATGATGCGAACTCATAGTCGGACGATTTGAGTAGGATATTGGACCTACGCTGAGAAAACAAATTATGAAGAGAAGACAGAGAGATGCTTGATATTTGATGAACCAAACATTTGTTATATATAAAGAAAATTTCATAAAATATCTCAACTTAATATCATTAAATTTTTTATTACCTAATTTTTTTCGTTACCTAATTTAACATCCAACTAATTATTTCTCATTTTAATATATAAACTTTTAAAACTATGTTCATTTTAATACCAAAACTTTACTCACTACAAGAAAACACAACTTTTACTAGGACGGTTTCTCCTCGTAATTTCCTAGTAAAAACTCATTTACTAGGTAATTACGAGAAAATGCGTTTTATCGTAACACGTTCATCGTAAAGCCATTTTCCTCGTAATTTCCTCGTAAATTTACGAGGAAAGACACATTTCTTCGTAAAGTCCACGTACAGTTCCTCGTAAAAGACACGTAAATAGTTCTCGAAAAAACCTCAAAACATTATCCTCGTAAAGACGTCATAAGTCATATCCTCGTAAAAGCGTTGTAATATGTTACGAGGAATTTACTTTGATTCGGTTTTTCCATATTAAAAATTAATAATTAAAATAAATATAAATAATATATTTTAAAAAAATTAAAAATCCAAATTATAAATAAAAAAAGGAATAACAAATTATTTTATAAATAACTAAATGTTTAAGTTTTAAATTCATAATACAATAAAAAGAAAGAAAATATTAAATTACGGTCTCGTTAAATTGACGAACGAAGTCGTCATCCCGGCTCGCCAACTCCTACTCATCCATGTTGGTCCTCAGTTGTGACTGTGACGGTGGATATGGAATCCCTAGGTTTTCCTGCCTGACACACAACATCTCCACCAATTCCAGGTTTCCAACCGCCATGACGTCCAGGATATCAGAGAGAGAACTCACATGAGCTTGCATCGCCTGTAACTCCGAGCGTAGCTGAGTAGTGACATCGTGCTATTCCTGAGCATAAGACGATGTCGCTGTGGGGACATCGTTAACGATACCAATCCCGAGGATACGTCCCTTTTTCCTAGGGACGACCTTTAAATAAAAGATTAATAGTTAGTTAATGTTAAAAAAATAAATTAAATAAATAATTAAAATTAATAAGAAAACAAATTATTTACCTCCTCGTAAATCTTATCCACTTCAGAAGTGGATAATATGATGGGTGTCCCAGACTTCTGAGTCAGCTGGGTCTGGCGGTGGTCAACCCGAGCAACAACCTCGTTGTAGATTCGCTCGGACCTAGGATCTACAAAATTCCCAGCCTTGTTCGGGTGGATGCTCTCCTAAAGCTCTTTCAGAGATGAAAGAACTCCTATATCTTTACCCTAAAAAATAAAATTTAAAATTAATTATTAATTAGGAATATGTAAATAGATTAAAAAATATTAATTAGTTATTAAAATATTAATTTACCATGTCTAGACGGATTTTCGCCTGAGGTTTTCGATCTCCGGTGTGAAGCATCTTCGTGTTGCCATGCTCGTCTTTTGTCATGCGGTTCTCGGAGTTTGTGTTGGAGGTTCTGATCGAGTCCGGCAACCCCCAATATCTGATGAGGTCATCCCACACCGAATATGTGAGGCAATCGGGTTTCCCCTCCTCGTAACCATCCACCTGAAAAAAAAAATATTTTTAAAATTATTTGAAGTCAATGATATAAAACTATATAAAATTGATAAATCCACCTGAAAATCGCCTTTCCAGTTGTAGACCATGTCGAGCAATCGTTGTTTGCACTTCGCCTCAAACTCCTTCTTCACCCACTAGTAAATCCATATGGACCAACGTTATTTTTGATGTAACCAGAAAATATTAGATTAATAATATTAATTAGTTCAATAATATTCAAATTTTTAAATAATTAAAAAATAAATTAAGTTTATTAATGACTTACGGCGAACGATTTGAACCACGTCTTTTGGTGTGGTTGGCCGTCTTTTTCCAGTTTGGAGCTAGATTGGGAAAGTATCCTTTGATACAATCGGTGACGCTCTGAGCGACACATCCATCAACATTAAACCTTGAACAAAAAACAAAATAAAAATATTAATTAAATTTGTTAATTTTTGGTTAATTAATAAATAAATTTAAAATTTTTTTCAAAATATGAAACATACCAAAATATGTTGCGGCCGTCCCGTCGGAGGATCTAACTCAGGTAACCCTTCTCTGCCTGGCGCTGCCATAATATCCTCTACCGTATACACCGCAAATGGAGCGTTCGGTGGCACCTCCAAATCGGGATGAACCCCGGCGGCCGGTGGACGAGGAGGAGGAGGTGGTGGATCAAACTGGGGGTCCGAAAAATCGGGAGCTGAAGAAGATGATGCGCTAGGCTCATGACCGAAGATATCTCCGTAATGACTCCCAGTAGGAGGCGGCCTCGTCTTACCCTTAAGCTTGTTTTGTCTAACCATCTAAATTTTAAAAATAAAAATAAAACATAAATATATTAGTATCATTTAAAAAACACTTAAAAAAATAAACCAACCTAATTTAAATTCTCTAAACTAATCATCTAATCTAAATTTCCTAAACTAACCACCTAATCTAAATTTCCTAATCTAACCACTAGGAATTATAGATTACCTTAAGAGGAATATGAGAGAAGATTGCTACAAATGAGAGAAATTGGATGGCTTGACTTATATAGGAAATTTGATTTCCTCGTAAATTTCTCGAAATTTTACGAAGAAATAGCGAATCCCGTGTTTTCCTTTATGAGGAAATAGCGAGTCCTGCATTTATGTTTTCTCGTAAAGTCCTAGTAATTTTGTTACGTGGACTTTACGAGGAAACTTCATACGTGGACTTTACGAAGAAATGGTGAGTCCCACGTTTTATTTTACTAGGGTTTTACGAGGAAATGTTTTGTAAATCCTTAAATTCGAAACCCCAAACACCAAACCACAACTTTCTTAACTTATAACCTCTTCTACAACCAAACTCCAAATCTCTTCTACACATAAACCCCAAATCACAATTACTCATATGAAACATCATCATTGCTAACTCAAATTCAAATTCATTTTTGTGATTAAAAAAACTTAAAACATACATAATTCACATCCATTTGTGTGATTAAAAAAACTTTTAAAATATACATAATTCATTCGGATACATTCTCGGAATCTGTAGAAACATCATCATTTTCGTAAAACTCGTCCTCAACACCTTCGTTCGTTGAGTGATCAGGAACATCTTCATATTCACGATTATGCGGATCAATGAGTAGGATGTCATCAATTTCTGATTCAGGTTCCTCGATTTCATTTGTGTTTTCTTCTTGTAATGGTGGTTCTTCTGCAGCGATTATTCGTCCTCGAGGTGTAACTTTGATAACAGCTAACCAGTTTATTCCCGAGGTAGTAATCCGAGGGTATAGACTGAAGCAAACTTGACCCGCTTGGGAAGCTAATATGGAAGTCTCAAAATTGTTGTACGTGAAAAAATAAAGACAAAGTAGAAATTAGTCATTCAGAACATGTTTGTCAATAAAATAATTTGTTGTACCTTCGGCCACCATTGACATCAACTACACCGTTCTTGTTAATCCGAACACCTCTGTTGACGATGAGGTCGTACCACTCACACTTGAATATAACGCAATTCAGATTCATATCTGGGAATTGAACTTCATAAATCTCCTACAAGATCCTGAATTTGTTTCGCCTTTCACACATATTTCATAATTACTTGTCGCTCGGTGTCTACCAATGTCATAGGTATGAAAAGTATAGCCTCGGGTGAAATACATTGATGATGTAGTGACCTTTGCAACTGGACCTTAAAGTAATTCGCGAAACCATGCAGAATAATCAGGATCATCATAATCAACCTGCAAAAAAGTAATAGAACTAGACATTAGACTTACTATGTGGTAATGTATGCATAAAATTTAATTTATAATGCATGTTTCCTCAACCACTTGATAAAGTGTCAATCTTTCTTTTTGTCTAACTTAGTTGTTGATATACCAGAGATTGCTTCTTCGACTTGAGTCACAAATTAGCTGTAAAATTATGTTATGTTATTTAATCAACTGAATATATATAAGTGTGTATGTTTATATGTTTACCTTTCAAATAACCAATCAATGGATGCTCGCAGTTGAGAAGAATATAAAGGTGTGCACTATGGACATCTTCATCACTCGACCACCAAACCTCTTTCAATTTTCCACTCAATCGCCCAATTTGACAAAAGATGTCTGGAACATCTTCTTCCATATATGTCGGCACGACACCACCATCATCATATCCTCTTGGAGCTTGTTTCCTTGTACGTACTTTCGGTGCAAAGTAGTTCGATGTGAAATATGATGTTTCTTCCGTCAAACTTCCCGCAAAAACAGAACCTTTAAATTTTGCTAGGTTTTTGGCTTTTCCTTTCAATGTTTTCATGGCCCTTTCATACTGATACATCCATCCATAATGCACGGTCCACGAAGTAATGCCTCATACGGGAGGTGGACAACTAGGTGTTCCATGACGTCAAAATAAACAAGCGGAAATAGTTTCTCCAGGCTGCACATTAAGATGGGGATGTTTTCGTGAAATTGTTGGGCAACTTCCTCTTTAAGAGTGTGGATGCTCAGATCCCTAAAAATGCTCCAATTCCTTATATATTACAAAAACAAAAATTAAACACATTAGTATATTCAAATATATATATATATATATATATATATATATATATTAATTAATGTTTGCGTCGTATTATATTAATTACCTGAAAGTGCTTGATGTACTTTTGCAGGTAGTAGCTCCACAAATGCAAAGGGAAGTAGTCACTTCATAAAGACATGACAATTCATCTCGAAGAACTTTGCCCTTCTCAACACATCTTGAGAGA